ACGGGTAAAAGCCGATGCTAAAAGACGTTACGTTGTTAAATCTTCTTTTCTTGTTAAATTTTCTTTTTATTTTTCAAAATTTTTTTTTTTTCTCTTCTATCTAAAATAAAAACATATTATTCTAACATATAATTACTTTTATTACATTTTTCTCTCCTAAATAAGATATAAAAATAATACATATAAACAACTTTTTAATCTCATCTAACTTAAACACAAAAATAATTATCAACTTTTATCTTATATAATTAATTTAGATTTAGCTTGCTAATCTAATAGAATTTCCTTTTTATATATAAATATTACTATTATTAAAAGTTTTATATATAGTTATATCAATATATAAATCCATCTTAACTCACTCTATAATATCAACTTAATTTAAATTATATTTAAGATTTAAAAATTTATTTGATAAACTTTATTATTTACATTTCATATAAATTCATACGAGCTTGCTCTATGATAATAACTTATTTTAAGTTATATTTAAGATTTCAATTTTTAATAGACAAACTCTGTTATTTACATATCCAAAAGGTATAATTTATATCTTAAAGGAAAGATTAAAATATAAAAGTAATTATAATCACATAATACTCACAGAATTTTTTTTTCTCAGTGTTTTAGTCAGTTTAAAAATGTTTTTTATTAGTTATTATTACAATTACTACAGATATACATACAACAATCTATATTTATTATCAAACAAATTATTAATTATTTCAACTAACATCTATAACAAATAATTTTTAATATTAAAAAAAAAACGTTTTAAAGAATAACAAACTAAAAAACTTAAAAAAAAACTACAAACATTTTTGGGTTAGCACCCCTTCTATGTTCTCTAAACTCGCTAAAAATTGTCTAAATAAGAAATGTCAAACTTGCCCAACTTTCAAGAACCATGACACATTTCAAACACCTAGTTGTAAGATAGAAAACACTATTTATAAATTAACTTGCCAAACTTGTCAACTTTCATATATAGGAAAAACTTGCAATCCTTTAAACATAAGAATAAATTTACATAGAAACCACTCCAAAAAATCAATTGGTAACACATACATGAAACAACACAATAAAATACATACCTTTAACAATTACATGATAGAAATACTTGACATTTGTCAAGACAAAAAACAACGATTATTATTAGAAAACAATTACATTTATCAACACAACACTTTATACCCTTATGGACTTAACGACGAACTTAACCACACATACACACCACAACCATCTGAAATATCAATCTATGAAATTAGTAATAAATACAAAAAACATAACTCTAATAATAACTCAGTCAAAACCAGAGGTAAAACTACCAACAAATTAGGCTTCATAAACTTTAATAACTTACTAGACACAAACAAAATGTACACAAAAAATTTCATTGAAAATTTTATTAAAACATTATTCAAATTAAATAATAGCAAACTTATAAAACTTGTAGAACACATTAAAATTCACAATCTTTCTAATAGATTAACAGATATCACAAACGACATCTTCAAATACAGAAAAATTAAACAAAAGAATAACCAAATTAACATTATTATTAAATTCAATAACAAATTATTTGATCATTTCAAATTTAATGATATATTTAATGACCAATCTATTAACAGTTTATTTTCCTATAAAAGGTTTAAATTTTAAAACTACCTGGAAATATAACAAGAATATAGGCAGTATATTATGCAATTATAACCCGTTTATTAATAATCTAACAAATTTTAAAAAATCTAAATGTAATTGCCACAATGTTCTAGATAAATATAAATTCACAGGACATATTTTAACTAGCGATTATTCTTTTTTGGAACCAAAACTCCAAAACATTTTAAATAGAGGATATAAATATATACCTCAGATCAAACACAATTTCAATAATACAATTAAATCTATATTAAAAGACATCGATATTTTCATTAATAAAACTAGTATAAAACACAGAATTCCTGAATTTACTTTCCTAGAATGGAAATATAAATTAAGTAAAGAAATAAAAAACTATTATAACAACACACTAAAATACACAAACCCTAATGAATCGGAAATTAATTCCTTAAAAGACAATTTTGAAAACTTACAAAAAGATTTTATCATATGTCCAATAGATAAATGTTCAAATAATTTATCTATTATATGTAAAAACTTATATCATGACCTTCTAAAAAATGAAATTAATAACAACAGTAAATACACTTTCATAAAAACAACTGAAACTAAAATCAAAAAAGATATTAAAAATGTAGAAAACACACTAAAAATCATTAATTACAACAAAAACACAAACATACCGAAATTTTATATTATTCCTAAATTACATAAAACACCAATCTCATTTAGAACAATCACATCAGGAATAAACTCAGTCATAAAAAACATAGATTTAAGACTAGCTTCAATACTTCAATTCATAATAAATAAAATAACTAACAAACATAATTATAAATTCATAGATTCTAATAAAAAAATCATTAACTTCCTAACAAATAACCTACAAAAGATGAATACAGTTCATACATTTGATTTTGAAGATCTTTACTCTAACATACGTTTAGAAGACCTTAATAATAAAATACAGAGCTTAATAAATGAATTCATTAATGATAAAACATTCCATATTCAAATTATTCACAACAAATACAAAACATTTAAATTAGATAACAAAACAGCAAAAACATTACTTGAAACCTTCTTAAACTTTAATTATATTAATTTTAAAAACAAAATATACATTCAATCTAAAGGTGTTCCAATGGGAACTTCATCCAGTCCTCTACTAGCAAACTTATTACTTTTTTGGTATGAAAGAGAGTTCTTCCTACAGAATGATGTAAATTGGCATATGTTCCGCTATGTAGATGACATTATTATCTTGAATAACCCACAATTCAATAATGTCATTTACAAATATACCCTAAATATTTGAAACTTAAAAATAATGAAAAGATAACTAATAACAAGGAGGTTAACTTTTTAGACTTAAATATAAACCTTGCAAACAAGTCAATTGGAACATATGACAAAAGAAATTGTTATAATTTTAAAATTATTAAATTCTGTAATGTCAATTCCAACATATCATCAAATTGCTGCAAAGGCATATATTTTGGTCAATTTTTAAGATTTTATAGAATCAACAACATTAAAACAAACTTTATTAAAGACATTAAAAATCTTAATAAAGAATATTTAAACAATGGTTTTAAATACAAAACAGTAAAGTTTTACAATAGGCTGTCAATACACAAATACCTAAGCAATAATAAATATAATTATAAATTTGAAACTTCAAACTTCTCCAATTAATCTAACCAACAACTTATATTCTACTCTTATACTAAAACAAATGATAGAATTACTGAATATATTTCCTATGACTTTAAATATATTAATTATATGATAACGATTATAAAGCATTAAATTCATTCAATTTGATCTCCAGTTACTGTGGGAGGGAACTGGAAAACAAATATAAATGAATTTGAAGCATAATAAATGTTTTATTATTCAATTAATTTATAATTTTAATAAAAATGTAACTTATATCAATGAAAACAAAATTTTAATACATATTTTCACAATCTTTAAAATTTCAAATGATTCTTTTCTGACAGCTTTTCTAACTTCTAACAATTTTAAAAATAAGATTTCCTAGAAAAGGGAAGGTTACTTTTAGAACAGTGTCGTGGGTCCCTGACAGACAGATGTTACATCCACACATGTGCGCTGTCTCGAGGGAGCGGCAGACGCCACTTTGAATAAGTAAGTAAACAACCTCCTTCTATGATATCTAATATTAATTTAATTATACAGTTTAATGGTCGAAGAGAAATCAATCCATAATGAAGTAAGGGTGAAATGGAAGTGGTATTTTCATCTGAAGAGCCCTGGTACCACAGATTTCTCTCTCCAATAGATTTTCCAATCTCCTTTTGTGTAATGTCCTGGTCTACCATTAGGGTTCCAAAAAATAATTTCTAATAGGCAAAGATTTAAAATATGTTTATCTATCCTTAACTAGGCAAAAACATTATATCATATTATTCTTACTCTTAGGAAAAAAAAAAAAAATCTAAAATTATATAGGAAAAAAAAAATTATATAAAAAAATTACAAAAACTATTAATTAATTAAAAAAAAAAAAAATACTAACACCCTTTCAATTCTCTACCTGTTTGAAATAAAAGTGTATGGTTCTTTCTTTATCTCTTTCCTCTCTTTTACTAAAAAATAAATATATAATCATTATAAATCTCTTCTTTATTCCTATTTATTTTAAGAGTATGTCTAAATGACGGGTAAAAGCCGATGCTAAAAGACGTTACGTTGTTAAATCTTCTTTTCTTGTTAAATTTTCTTTTTATTTTTCAAAATTTTTTTTTTCTCTTCTATCTAAAATAAAAACATATTATTCTAACATATAATTACTTTTATTACATTTTTCTCTCCTAAATAAGATATAAAAATAATACATATAAACAACTTTTTAATCTCATCTAACTTAAACACAAAAATAATTATCAACTTTTATCTTATATAATTAATTTAGATTTAGCTTGCTAATCTAATAGAATTTCCTTTTTATATATAAATATTACTATTATTAAAAGTTTTATATATAGTTATATCAATATATAAATCCATCTTAACTCACTCTATAATATCAACTTAATTTAAATTATATTTAAGATTTAAAAATTTATTTGATAAACTTTATTATTTACATTTTATATATATATATATATATATATATTATTTTAAAGGACTGCGGCGTATGATTATAAAGCAACACTTAAAGGCTCTCCGCATAAGTTTCTTTTTTGTGAAAAATCAATATTAATTTCAAAGAGAAATATGTACTATTTCTAACTTTTTGGATGACGTATGAAAAGGTTGAATATATGAAGAGTAATGGTCTATATATGATTGGATGACGTATGAAAGGGTGAAAATATGAAGAGTAATGGCGAACGGAAAAATAAAAGTGTCCAGGGGCGGGAATCGAACCTTCTGCTTACCGGGCAGGTGCCATGTCCACTAGGCGATTCCCGCCCCTGGACACTTTTATTTTTCCGTTCGCCATTACTCTTCATATTTTCACCCTTTCATACGTCATCCAAACATATATAGACCATTACTCTTCATATATTCAACTTTTCATACGTCATCCAAAAAGTTAGAAATAGTACATATTTCTCTTTGAAATTAATATTGATTTTCACAAAAAAAAAAAACTTATGCAGGGAGGCTTTAAGTGTTGCTTTATATATATCTATATCAATAAAATGGAAATTTCATAAGTGGGCATCACTTAAAACTTTCGTTACAAATGCATCAATTTCAACCAAGTTTTCAACATTCATGTAAAACGAGATGGAGTAGGCTTTGCTTAACATCAAAATATATTTCCTAACATTAACATACGTAACTTTGCTGTTATCGATTAAATACAAAATAAAATTCAACAGAGTTATTTTTTTTATATACTAGCTAATAATCTCAATCTATTCAAGCAGAGCTTAGGTAGTCTATTGTCCTCCTTTTTTTTTTTTGTAATCTAATGGAATATTTCATAATTAATTTGATCGTTGTAAGAGTCAGATATTCTGCCTGTTCCTAGCCTTACAATATACCCTGGTATACATTGTTGGCGCGCTGCTGGAGCCTTTAATTTACATGTTCCATTTTTAACTTACTTGTTTTGTCTACATCTTTTCTTATGGATTCAATTGTAACTTTTAACATCTTATTTATTTTTAATAACTTTCATGTATAATTATTTTTACATAATTTTGTTTTCTATAATTATTTTACATACTTTTATTTCGTCAAATTTGCATACTTTTGTTTTTAGATTATTTAAGACAATAATCTTTAGTTAGAAAGTGCTTTGCCTCCAAACTTTTGGTTTGTGAATAAACGTTAAAAAGACTTCACGAATGTTTCTTCCCAGTACATCAGGTCACCAGCGCAACACTGTTGGAGATGCTGTTTCCAACCCAAGAAGAAGCAGGCGAACACAAGGCCTGCCACCAGTTAGATCTTTTAGCGCCTCGCCAACAAGACGCATAAAAGTTGATCCTGAAGATGCCGCCTCGTGGAATAACAACGTCTTCTTCTGTCAGCCACCACCTCCAAGCCTAGAATTTTTCGAAGGGTATTCTGAAGAGGGACCCAGCAGAGTGGGTAGAAGAACTCGAGCTTTTAGCAAGACAGCAGCGATGGCCCGAGGACGTGATGCTGGCATATTCCAGAAGTTACCTGAAAGGTCCTGCA